GACATTTCGGTTTGCAAACTATTTGAATTTGATAATGGTTCGTGCTAAGGGTATAGAACTGTGCTATCGCACGTCGTATCGTAGATTGCACAGGGTTTCGCCAGTAAATAGTATTGTAGAGATCATCAGTCAGTAGATCTTGGGTCTAGTCAAGTCGGCCACCCCTGTTATATAATCTCATAAGATATGCAGACTTAGTCGGAGCTTAGTATGTCAAGAACGCGAACTAAACATTATTTATAGCACGTCATTCTCAAGGACTAAAGTTTTCCACTAGACCTTTTGATATATTTATCCTAAATTCGCATCTATGAGTAAAGACTTAAAGCTTTCATTTATTTAATCACCTATTCAAGGCGCCGAGTGTTAATTGTTTCATTTAACAGCGGTCGTAAATTAAGATTAGGGTTCTTAGTTTAAAACGAGTTATTAATACTATAGTCTTAATTAAATATTTTGTAATTATTTGAATTGTTTTTTTAAGATTGATTGAAGTTGCACAGCCTTATTTTTTGCAATAGGAAGAGGTAAAGATTGCAAATACATCGCTTCTAATTTAGTATTAATCTTATTGAAAATTTAATGCAATCGTTGTTGTGAAATTAGAAAAAAAAAACTGATAAATGCAAACCAGACTCACACGTGAAAGGTTGCGTACAATCAGTTCAAGATTTTCAACACTTGAATAAAATGCAAATGGGGTGGAAAGTTTTGGGTCGCCGTTTCAGATTACGTAATTAATTCATTAGGTATGTACATACTTCAAGCAGCCAAATGCCAGCGAAAATGTATGTAAACAACTAGATTAACATAAATAAGTAATTAAAAAGGACAAGTGGAAAAGGAACAAAAATGAAATAGGCTCCAATACAAATGATGAGTGATGAAACTAAGAGAGCAAATGGAATGAAAACTAATGATCTTACCGAAGACGAGCCACTATTTGAATGGTTCCCATAATTATGTGCATATTCTCCCTCGCAAGAAATGACAGAATGATTTGAAGAGTATTATGTCGCTAATACAGCTACTCTCTTTCGTCTTGGTTAATGTTGACATCCTCTTTGTGTCCTTTTTTAATATCAATTTGGCAGCAATATTGCCCGAATTTGATAGTACTAATTTACGAATATTTAAAATACGGCTAACTCTATAAAAAATACCAAAACACTATCGCACAGACAGTACAAATTTTTAAAGGATTTATTTTAATTGAAAAAGTTTCCCTTTTGATTCAATATCAATAAAAATAAAAATAAAATAGCGCAATGGAATCAGATTATTGTTTTTAAGTGTTTTACTGCTAGATGTTTATATCTAAAGAAAATTTTACCAGAAATAAAATCCACGCGGACAAGTTCGTCTGCTGCCTGGTCTGAGTGTTTTTTTTTAGATTTAAATATATTTGTTAAACTTAAACTTGTAAAATGTTTCGATACTAAAATGTTAACAGAATTACAATCTGTTTAATCGAATACCTGGTTTTAATTTTTATGTTTTAAGCATGTAACTGCGCGATGTTTAAATGTAAATAAAATATTACTAGAAAAATTGCTAAAATATTCCACGTGGACCAGGCAGGAGACGGGACTCGAACCCACACCCTTCGCTATCCGGGCGAATGCACTGACCATTATGCTACCGCGGCCCTGACGGCCGTGTCAAATTCTTTCTAGCCTTTCTTAAGCTGCAAGTCAGATACTCACGAGGCATTCAGGTTTTTTCGCCTCTCTCCATAGATTTAAGAAGAAGGATACCCCTAGCTGTATATGCGATCCAAGCGTAGAGGAGGACATCATCCATGTCCTCATAGAATGCTCTCTGTACGGAGCATACAGACACTCTACAGACACGCATAGACACAAAAATCAGTAGAGACACATTGTGGTAAATAATGGAAAATAAAAAACAAAGGAAAGTATTCCTAGAATTTAGTAAAAAAGTTGTAAGAAAGTGATTGAGTGAAATAAAGACTACAAATGTAAACATAAGTTAAATCTGTAAGCAACTTATAAATGTATCCTCAAAACGAGATGGAAAAAGAAAGATAAATAGAAATAAGACGTCAAAGTAAGAAGGAAGAAATAAAAAGTTTGTAAAATAGTACTAATGAGGTTAAACCATAAAATAGACTTATAAGATGTTTAAACAAAAGACAGGACGAAATGAAATGACATGTAATAGATTAAGAGCAAAATGTATGTATATATATATATATACATAGTCAGGTCATAAGTATTGCCACACAGTAAAAACTTTTCTTTTAGAATGCTGGCCACAAAAAGTTTATTGAATTTGAATTTCGTATTGTTCATGAAAATAAAAATGTATACTTATAGGAATTTCACTCATTTTTAAATATGGAGTGGACGCTAAAGAAGACCGTGTTGCAGTTATTGCGTTGCATCGTTGCGGTTACGCGCCAATTCAATATTTTGACATACTGAAAAATTTGAATATAACAAAAAGATTCGTTTATCGTACCATCAAACGATACAATGAAGACTCCAGTGTAGATGACAGGTCAAGAAGTGGTCGCCCTCGGTCTGTTAGGACTCCAGCAGTGATAAAAGCTGTGAAGGCGCGAATTCAAAGAAATCCCAAACGTAAGCAGAAACTGTTGGCTCTTCAGATGGGGTTAAGCAGAACCACGGTGAAAAGGGTGTTAAATGAAGACTTAGGGCTTCGGGCATATCGAAGAAAAACAGAACATCGTTTGAATGCTCGTCTAATGGACCTGAGACTGAAGAGATGCCGCTCTTTGTTGAAGCGGTACGCGGGAAAAAAAACCAGGAAATTCTTTTTTCGGATGAAAAAATTTTTACCGTAGAAGAGAGCTACAACAAACAAAATGATAAGGTGTACGCACACAGTAGTGAAGAAGCGGGCAACCGTATTCCGCGTCCAACGAGGTCATTTTCCGTCTTCGCTCATGGTATGGTTGGGAGTTTCTTATTGGGCTAGACAGAGGTACATTTTTGTGAAAAAGGTGTAAAAACGAATGCAGTTGTGTATTAGAATACAGTCCTGACGAACCTTGTGGAACCTGTTTCTTATACCATGTTCAATAACAGGCACTGGGTAATCCAACAAGATTCGGCGCCAGCTCATAGAGCAAAGAGCACACAAGACTGGCTGGCGGCGCGTGAAATCGACTTCATCCGGCACGAAGACTGTCCCTCCTCCAGTCCAGATTTGAGTCCGTTAGATTACAAGATATGGCAACACTTGGAGGAAAAGGCGTACTCAAAGCCTCATCCCAATTTGGAGTCACTCAAGACATCCTTGATTAAGGCAGCCGCCGATAAAAAATGAGCACCCACTGAGGGAGAAATCTAAAAAAATAGAAACAAAAACGAAAAGAAAGGAAAAACTCCTGTTACAAAACGGGGGTAGACGATAAAAAATAGAGCTGCAAGGCAGCGCCATCTCTTCGCATCGTAGGTAACCCACAATGTCAAATGAATACCTTTACAAGTATTAAACATTTGAAAGAAGAAATCACAATTAAAGTTATAATTTTTATTTTTTAATCATGTAACTGCTCGATGTTTAAATGTAAAGAAAATATTAAAAAAATAAACAAAGGGTTTTATTCAAGTATTACTTAATTTCGGATTAGTTGATTGATGAGAGTGTAAAAATACCCATAAATCATCACACGCATTAGCTATACACAAATTGATTCGCTTCTTTTAAATACAAATCAATCAATTATGACATAGGTATTTATGTGCGTGTGTCAAACGAGGCTTAAGGTTAATGAAAGAGTTTATCTACGCCCGGTTTAGAATTTGACACGGTAATTAATCTCTTGTGACAAATTTAGGGCTTATTGGTATTTTTAAATCACCTGAGATTGTTTTTATGTTAAAAGTGTGGCAAAGAGCGCCTGATGGTAAACGGCCACGAAAGCCTGTAGACGCTTGCGATATTTATTTATTTATTTGGCATGCTAACATTTTTACACCCAACATAATTTAAATAAAAACATACGTTATACATAAAGTTGTGCAAAAACAGTTACAGGCATACACAAATCTTATTTCTGTCAAAATTAATGATAAAAACTAAACCAGGTATAAAAACATACATAAAACTAAACTTTAATCATGTTTCACAATCAATGCTCGATACTCGTAGCAAAGCCCACCTAAATGCAATCATTGACGCAGCGAACAAATCAACGCCTACCAAGGAACCAGTACAAATTTTATTATGTTCTCCACAAATCCTATTTAAAACACTCTGCGTACCCAAGGTTGGTTTTATAAGTTTTTAAATTAAATAATTTATAGTTAGCTGGTCTGAAATTTGGTCGTGGTATATTAAAACTAATTTCACTAAGAAGTTGAGGATAATCAATGTTACCTCTCAGACTTTTGTACAGTAAAATCTGACCAGAAACTTGAAATACTCCAATTTATCCGTTGTTACTTTTTCACGTCTAAACGGCTGGAGCGATTTTAATAAAATATGGTATGGAGTTAGCTGACAACCTGGGTTAACACATAGGCTACGTTTTACTGCGGTAAAATTTCTCTAATAAATCGCGGGTAACACCGCGGGGTACAGCTAGTAACCTTATAAAGAAAATATTAAAATCGGTTCAGACATGTCGGAGTTTTCGCGCGGTAACAACTATTAAAGTCGATGTAAATTAAATCGCTATAATTTAGAACACTCACTTTAAATGAAAATTCAAAGTCTTTATGTAACGTAACACTCGAGCGGCAGGTCCCAGTTTCGCAATTTACTTTAACGCAATAAAAAAGAGTTCAAGATAAGAATAATGTAACTTTTCAGCAGTGTAATAAATTTCAAAATCTGCTGTTTAGAATTTCCAGAGACCACTTACAAAGATCCAAACTTTATGATATTATTAAGGTAGTACGTATCGTTTTTTTCACGTCTCGTAAATGAGTGCTTTGAAGGCTGCTCCCTGATATTTTATCCAGCTCGTGGGCTCGACGAAATAATAGTGCCATACCCAGTCAAAACTAGACAATACTCCTGTCACCCGACACGAACTCTAAGGACCGAGGTCCCCCGAATGCGTGTGGAGCGAAAGTGTGGACTTTGTTGTGGTTGTAGTTGACCCCGTTAAGACTGGCCACATACCCGCCGGTAATTGTCCGCGAACGGACTCTCCGTTCAAGATATAGAGTATACTCCAGGGCATCATATCAAAGGGGCATATTTCTTTAGTGAGATATTATTAGTACCTACAAACGAGGTTCCTAAATCACTTAAGAATGTTATGCAAGTAGAAAGTATAGTAGAAAGTAACACAAATTCATAAAAATAACGGACATTAAGTATGTAAGTATATATACTACGCCGACGTTATACACCTTGAACTGCTGGCGATCTACCTCAAAATTATTAGACTACTTACGATCGACATTGAGTGGCTGCAAGTATGTGTGATGCAGGGTTGTCGTACACACACGAAACACCCCACCTACCTACCTAGCTAGGTAAGGTGTACCGTAGCATATATAGACTAATGTCTGTAATGGAAAGCTAATGCTTTCCGCACAATATACATTATTTTAGTCAAGGTTTGGGTTAGGTTTAATTAGGATCTTCTCTACAATATCAATGAAAAAACTTATAGTTATTCAAAATTGCGAGTTTGTTGGTTGTTACAAAACAAAAGAGTTACATATGGTATTAAACTTAACTTAATAGTGTCTTTGGATGTTGAAGCGTGGCACTGCATGTTCTCAGCATACTTTTCATAAGATGGTACATAACCACTAAGTGCTAATCGCAAGCATGATGACATACGATTGTCAGTTAGTCGATTGCGATATTTTGACTTAATTATCTTCATTTCACAAAATGCAGACTCGCACAAGTAAGTTGACCCAAACATTGCCGTCAGTTGAAGGGCGATTTTTCTTAGATTCGGATATTTATCTTCAGATATAAAACACCAGAAATTTGTATCAGATGCTGTAGCTTTGAGATGTATATCTGATATAATCTGCACCAACTCATTTTCATCAGAACATGAGTTCATATTAAACTGAGTTGCTATTTCTGTAGCTAATTCCTCAATGTTCTTACATGAAAAAGGATAAGTCATAAATGATGCTATATTTGCCAATTTACTGCAAACATAAAAACGCATTTCGAATTGTCCCAAAATATTTGATAATTCAGCCTCATACGTATCATAATTCAATTGAGGAATCCTTGCTTTCAAAGACGGAAAATGTTTCAGATCCTTTCTTCTCAGTTGATCTATCATAAGTTGCAATTTACTTTTGAATGCGTTTACTGCGCTAATCATCTCAATAATAGTTTTTCCTTTACCTTGAAGCTCCAAGTTAATGGTGTTTAAGTGCATTGTGATGTCAGTCAAAAATGTCAAATCAGTCAGCCATTTTTCGTTTTTCAACATCTGAGTGTCATCACCTCTTTCGTCTAGAAAAGCTGTTATTTCGGGCAATAATTCTTGAAACCTTTCTAGGAATTTTCCGCGACTCAACCACCTGACGTCCGTGTGAAGAACTAAATCAGTGTGTTCAGCTATCTTCCAACTGCAACTTAAAGAGCCGCCGTTGCAAGCTACGTGCACGGATGGAATTCAAAATTTTTCTTGCAATGCCCATAATTGCCTCCATGTTTAAAACTTTTAAACACAAATTTGTTGATGTATAATGCAATGGAATGAAAAAAATGAAGGGAAATTTTCATTAGCTCGACACAATGCCACAAAACCGTTTTTGTTTCCAGTCATTGCTGGTGCTCCATCGATTGTAATGCACACTAATTTTTATATTGATGGCTTGTAGTTTTTTACAAAATTGAAGAAAACCTCATATATATCTTCGCCACGGGTCTTCCCCTTCAGAGAAAAAAATGTCAAAAATTCTTCCTTAGCCAACATGTAATTGAATACCATCCGAATAAAAATACACAGCTGGACAGTGTCAGTCATATCGGTTGATTCGTCAAACTGTAAAGAAAAGTATGTACATTCCATTATATCATGTTTTAGTTTATCTGCCATGTCCTGACTTATGACTTCAATACGCCTTGTGACAGTCAGACGAGATAACTGAAGTTTTCTAATAGCAGACATGAATAATGTTTTATTTTTAAAATCTCCAAATAAAGTCTCACCCGCTTCCATTAAAACCGATCCATCTTCGAATGCTTTCTTGTGTTTTGCCAATATATGAGATATTTTAAAAGACGCGATCGTAGCAGCTTTTGATTGTTTGGCTGATCTTGTGTACATGGTTTCTTCTTTTTTTAAACAAGATATCAAATCACGTACTTTTCGTTTTCTTAATTCACTCTGTGGCGGAAAATCCTTTTCATAGTTTTTATGAACCGTTTTATGATGCCTCTCTAAGTTACCACGCTTAGGTATTGCAACTGACGCACGACAAATAAGACAAGTGCACTTACCCTTCACCATACAAAAGAAAAATTCCTCCTCCCAATCGTTATTAAAATGATACGTTTTAGATTTCTTCGCTGCACTCATTTTGTACTATTAAATAATAAACTTTGTATCGACGTAGTATTGCCTTTTACGTATTTATTAGTATTGCCAAGTTACAATTCAGAATGACTCCAAATCCTGTAGGCGCAACATTTATTTCGGCGTGACCGAAAGTCTCGAATGTTCCCGTCAAACGCGCCGACCGAAATTACTAGAAAAGCGGCAAGAATAAAAAAAGCGGCTTTTCATTGACAAGTACCGCGCGTTCCTTTGATAAATTTCTGTAGTTTAGTTAAGTACCTACTTATTAAAAAAAAACTTCTCGAGACCTACTTAAAAAGCACTTGCGATCGACTGGTCGATCGCGATCGACCGTTTGAGCACCCCTGCTATACACTATTTGGCAGTTCTCAATATTGTTTTGATTGAAACAGCATATAAAAAGAAGTTTAGCAAACATTCATAGTAATAGCAAGTGCTACAGAATGTTTGATTTGTTGTTATCGACATACATTAGTGCTTTATATTAATACCAAATGTCTTACACGGTTTTGTTTTGTGATTTATTATTTCTGATATCAGTAACACATGTTGTGTTGTGCGTTAGTATGAAGGTCACAGCTCATTAGAGCCACCCGGAACCGCCTCGTCGCGCGACGTCCACTCGTGGTCTACAAGCAAACGCAGTCGAACGCCGCGTTCTCAACCAGTGTACGTCAGGTGGTCGACGGGTGAACGCTGCGCTTTAAATAAATTAATAGTTGACTCAGCGTTATCATCAAAAACTAAGGCCCGTATTATAGAATGATTCTCAGTAATTAATCTAGTCTTGAGGATAGTCAGAAAAGGATAATGCTAAATATAGCACATAGCGACATCCCTTTCTAACCGTACTCAAGTAAAGATCAACAGTTAGTTGTCATTCTGTAATACAAGCCTAAGGCCCGTATTACAGAATGACAACTAATTTCTATAATACGGGCCTAACTGTGGTAGAAATGAATAGTCACTAGGTTTACACGTGTATTATCACAATGTTTAATTTTACAAACCGTGAATGGGCTCTAATATCTGCGAGATGGATAAAGAAGAAAATGTAATGTGTTGTCAACTAGTAGGCAGCACGCAGTCACACACGGCAAACGTGCGAGCAACGGGTGATCACCGAGTGGAGTACTCTTTTTTTTTTGAGTGTGTATGCTTTTGGTCGCATATGACCTTTACAGCGTCACCGGGTTTGGGGACGGCGAGATCTAAGGGGACCTCAAGCCGAGAATTGGTGAGTGCCTCTAGAGGTATTCCAGGCGGATGGCATCTCCCCATGGGAGGTCTTCTCTCCGTTTGGAGCCTCTAGACCACTTGAAACAGGGGAGGGGGGGGGGGGGGCGAGAGTGGGTCACTCGCCGCCCGCGAGCGAACATCTTGCGAGCGAGGCGATGCGGTCACGGTAAGGTGTTGATGTAGTGAGCGTATACCCATAGAATTCCCTCCAAAAAAAAAACCAACCGCACGAGTTGGTCGCGTACCGGCCTAATGAGCTGTAACCTTTAGCCCCCGCAATGTGTAATTTATGGTATAAAGATTTGAGTAAAACATAGAAGTTATGATCGTTTGTTGAAATCATTTGCATCCATTTACAAATGTTATTAATGTGAAAGATTCACTGTTTGTCTGATTCCCGATTATTTGCCGATCTGTCTGTTACAATATCACACCTAAACAGCTAAATCGATTATGGTGAATTGTTGTATGGAGATAAATAACATCTCAGACAAGGTTATCGGCAACTTTTTAAACTAAAAAAAAATCTATAAGTTATTCGTACAATGGATTTTAGTGTCTAGCACAAACGATTGATTTCTGTCAAACAAAGTCAGGCACCACCGACCAGTCTGACCTGTCTAAGAGATGCAGGGCATAGCGGATTTTCCGCTCGATTTAGAGCGCCAGTTTGAGGAAGTAAACTCCAGCTTACAGATGATCAATAACCTTACCTTTTGGTGACGTCGTGTTTCTGTCGGTGAGGTTCCAGGGCTCTACGGGGCAGGGAATTGGGTCAGGGTAGCGTTGCCTATCGAGTGCGAGTGATATTTTTGGTATCGCAAGCGTCTATAGACTATAGTGGCCGCTTACAATGAGGCGGGCCATAAGCATCCTTTGCTACTCTTTTAAAATAAAACAGAGTAAATGGTATCTCATATAGACTTTCAACCCCTATTTAACTTTTATTTTAGAGATAAAAGGCAAAGTTATCGCCGCGCCACAATTCCCTTGATACGTTTTAGGGCAAATCCGCTGAAAACCGATTTTTCAGCGGTTTAGCCTTGAAACGTATCAAACAACCAGACAGTGAAACTTCTTTCACGTTTTATAACGAATACTTTTTGGTTACTATAGGAATACATATTATCACATGGTTAGTTCATTTCTATTAACTATTCTTTTAGAAAAAAAATTATAATCCAAAATTTTCTTACTTTCAATGGGGAGGACCTGGATAACGTATTGTCTACCGCGTTTGGTCTGCGATTGTGGAAGTGAAGTTACATTCACATTGGTCGGTCATTGGATGGGTGACCAAAAATCTTGCACCATACTTGAGAAGGCACGTTAAGCCGTTGTTCCCGGTTGTATTTGGACATGGACTAAAAATTAAATTTAACATCAGTCTGTGTTTTTCATTCTGTATGGAGAATGAAAAGGATACACTGTGTCATTAGACAATGGCAATGACATTGCATAATGAAGTACTATGGTGTATATATACAGGTGGTCCAACTAGTGACGTCAACAATTTTTTTTAGATTCCTCGCACTATCCTTAAATAGTAATTTTTCAGTAATTTGTGGTTTTTATTTGTATCAAAAAACAGGTAATTTCCCAACTAGCCATTTTGATCTTAAATTCTTGCTCACATTTTAAACCTTAGTGGTGAAACCGAAATTATTAAAAAATTCAACATGCTAAAGTTATTTTACAGAAATTTCAATTAAATTTAATTCGAAATTACATTTTTAGGTTTAATTTACCATAACAATGAAAAAAGTAGATAAAATAATGTCTAATGCTTTAATCATGTTTTAATGATTTTTAGCCTATCCGCCTTCAAAAGCCAATTACAACAAAAATAATAATAATCTATTTATTTCTCTCAAGAATGGTTACAAAGTCTTATATTATAAAATACAAAGTATAATTAGCATATAATTTTAACCTTTCCTGAGACTGGTGTCTGCACTAGGTTGTGAAACCTGTCTTAGGGTGCGGCCAGAGTGCACTCAGATTCAGAGTCAGATTCAGATTCTGAAAACAAGTGCGAGAAATAAACAGTGTAGTCTAAGCATGTTGCCTGCTTTTTCTCGCGCTTTGTTTTCTGAGTCTGAATCTGAATCTGAATCAGGAGTGCAATCTGGCCGTACCCTTCGACTACACTGTTTATTTCCCGCGCTTGTTTTCGAAATCTGAATCTGAATCTGAATCTGAGTGCACTCTGGCCGTACCCTTAGGGTGCGGCCAGAGTGCACTCAGATTCAGAGTCAGATTCAGGTTCTGAAAACAAGCGCGAGAAATAAACAGTGTAGTCTAAGCAGGTTGCCTGCTTTTTCTCGCGCTTTGTTTTCTGAGTCTGAATCTGAATCTGAATCAGGAGTGCAATCTGGCCGTACCCTTCGACTACACTGTTTATTTCTCGCGCTTGTTTTCGAAATCTGAATCTGAATCTGAATCTGAGTGCACTCTGGCCGCACCCTTACAGATCACCAGGCTCCCACTGCGCCGGTCAATCTCTCACTTTAATACTACACTTTAGTATTCAATTAACTCATTTTCACGAGAGAATAAACGATATGATATATAATATACTTAAATTAATGACTAATTTAACGCTAATAATAATCAAGTTGTGTGTATCTACGCAGGTGTTTGAGTGTGTGTATGTTTGTGCGTGGGTGTCTGTTAATGTGTGTTTGTGCGTGTGCGTGTGTGTGTGTGTGTGTTTGTAAGCTTGCATGTAGTGAGTGCGTGTATATAATGCACATACATTTGCCATACAAAAACCATTAAAACGAAGAATCAAATCCAATAAATAAAAATAAAATGCATCCTCTCGGGTGCTTTCATCCCGACTTTCGGCATCTGTTAATAATCCGTCAACTGCTTTGATGCCGACTTTCGGCATCGCGCGACTCTACGTAATCAGTGGCAATTAAAATATTCATTCTTATTGCTATCACCTACATTCTTATATCAATTTGTAGAGGAAAGAACAGGCTAGCTATCTAGCCATTGATTAAGTCAACTGCCATATGAAATATTTATGCTGTTGTCTGTGGAAGTTCGTCGTTCGCCGTTTTTCGTATGAAAAAAAATATGCCGTGTATTCAGACTATTTAAAGTGTTTTTCAGTGGTTTTTTTTAAAAAAAACACCATCACTGGGCAAGTTAAGTACATTATGTTACTCTATTTTGATGTTTCGTTTGCGGGTTTACGTGTTTTTTTTTTATATTTTTTTTGTTACATCCCTCGTAAAAAAAAACAATAAAAAAAAGGGTTTGTGTCTTATGTTTTCATGGTGATAATTTCGATAATAATTGTAATGTTTTAATTTATAATTATTGAATAAATTATTCATGATTAATATTTCGAATACGGAGAATCTCTTGCGTTAGTATTTTTGAAGAAATAAAAAAAAAACAAAAGCCGCGCAGTGTAACGGTCGTTCTAAATTCAAATATTCGAACGAAATATTTTTTCATATTATTTTCTTGTATGCGAACTAGTGATTAGTTTT